AATTCTGAATGCAACCACTACTGTGGTATATTTACTATTGTAAGACAATTACTATTACAGTTTATAGCTAGTGGTATCCTTCCGGTAGCTGTGCAGGCACTGTTGACAAACTGAATTCCTCACTTGCCTTTCTCTCACCTTCTGAAATCTCTCTAGAAAACTGTAGCACTTTCTGAATCTGTTTGGGAGTATTATGTGGGGTATAGGAGCTACACAAGAAGGGGACAAGGTATTATATATAGCCTAGCAGGATTTTTATGTTAGCCTCAGTTAAGCATTTTAATTTTCTTTTCTCTTATGATTTATAGTAGTAATGATATTACTATCTGTTTATGGTGGCATCTGAAGTAAAAGAGATGGCATAACTTCTCTTTTGTAGTCATGCCTCAGTCAAGAATATGTTTATCTTTTTCACTATTTCTTTAGTGCCTGAAGGCAGTATGTGTCATATGGTATTTGTAAGGACTCTTTTGTCTGAAGAAGAGGGTAAAACTGTTTTAAGTAATCACTTGGCTCTTTTCAACCATTAGACAGTGTTATCTTTTCAGACAGATAGAAGTTGTACCAAACATTTTGAGATTACAGAATAATCTGATCAGCCTATGATTTACACATGACTGTATGTAATGTCTTTTTTTTTTTTAAATAAGCTTTCTGATACTGATTGGGCTAAAGATTGTTCTATCTGGGGTGCTTTGAAATGGCCAGAAAGCAATGTATATGTTCTAATGATCAGCATCTAAGTATATATGCATGCACATCTCTTGACTAGAATATGCATTTATCCAACCTAAATAGAATTATTTGTAGATATCCATTATCATAATACTGTTCTGTTCTTCATCTCAAGATTTCCCTGGACAAGAGATTATATGTCTTTAGTGCAATATTATGTCTCTAGTGTAATATTACTTCTGGAATTTGATGTTATCACCAATGGGAATATGAAATACTTCCTTGACATCGAAGTAACTGACTTAGAGAATAACATATTGCTTTCTTTGAGTCCACTGTTAAGTCTATTAAGGGTAATTTGTAGGTAAATCTGATTTGTTTGCAATACACGGTTGTTCTGATTTTGATTTTCAGCCCTTCCATGTCTCAAAAGTTGAAAGACAAGTTTTGGGGGGGGTTTGTTCCCTTTTCTCAGTCAATTCAGCTGTAGAATCTTTATTTGGGGTTACAACAGCTTGAACATTTTTGGACCTAGAGCTTTCTGCTTCAACCGAGTTAATTTATTGTGAAAGAATTGGGTAAATACATTGAGGGACTCTCTCAGCAAGTTCATTTTTATTTCTGTTAGATAATTAAAAGTAATAGTACAGTCTGTGCCATCAGTAAGCTTTGCCTAGACACAAGTGCTGTAGTCTCATTTCTTACATTTTCATTTTCAGACGCCTTCTTTTTAAATTGCATGAGGTCAACTATTTTTTGTTGCTTGGATGGTTTGAGCAGTGTATGCATGCCAGAATTCATTCTCTGTCATATCTTTCTCTTTCCCATGCTATAATCTTCTCTTGATGGTGAAGTATAAACAGTTCTCACCCAGTTTGTTTGAAGATTAATTGTATACAGTTGTGCACAAGGACCAGTAGTTAAAAAGGGTATTAGTCTGATAATATAGTGTAAAAATTAAGGAATTGCCATAGCATTCTGATAGCCTCATGCTTTCACTTTGCCTCTTGGAGGACACACCTGATTTGACAGCAGAAGCGGTCATGTTTGTGGGTCTTTCTCATTCCCCTGTGCTTCAGGGACAGGAGGGGGACAATGGAGGCTAGTGAAGAAGTCTGCACCAAGGTCTAAAGCAAGCACTTTTCTCTTTCTGTCCAGTGGAACGGAATTGCTATATGGGGCTCAATTAGGGCCATATAACAGCATGATTACCTTAGAATTCAAACAAAATTTCTAAGAAGTATCTTTCAGGTTACCTGCTATGTTCCAAATGCAATACTTGAATCCAATCTCTGGATCGATATCTTTACTTACTAGTTAAAACTACACCACAACCTAGTGGACTGACTTGGCGGACAAGTTCAGATCTTCTTGGAAACAGCTATCCAAAAGAAATTGAGCCTCTATGGTTTTCCCAGTGATGCCAACCTAACTTTAGAGTCGGATCAAGCCAGTTCAATTCGATATTAAGACAAAGGATCTTAGATATAGAAGGACAAACAGAAATTGCTGCTTTTTCTCATATAATTGCAAATGATCAAATTTTAGCACCTAAACCAGCCTCATGTTTATATCATATTACAGTTCCCAAATTCAGGAGAGCCTTATCTTTACCTCGATGTAATGCTCTCCCCCCAGCTGTTTTGGAAGGGAAATATAGGAAAACCCCTTATGAAACCTGATATTGCCCTGTGACATGAGTGCCATAGAAACCACAGCCCACGTTCTTCTGTATTGTCAATTCTACAAGGACATTCGCCACTAGTTGATAATCCCTCTTATTTAAATTTCTGGGGCACACTGATAATTTTTATTTGCATTATCTGTTGAATAATCAAGATAAATGTATTTCTCTAAAAGTAGCAAAATTCTGCTACATTATGTATAAGTTTTGCCCATAAATGGTCGCCAAGAGTTATTGATGTTAGGGGATAATTTTGCTTTGTTTGCTTTATTGAATGTACTTTTATGTGACCAAATAAAGTTTCTGTCTGTCTGTGACATATCCAGTGACACCATCTATAAAGTACTCTTCTTTGCCCTTAGTATATGGTTGATATATGTGTGTTTGCTTTTATTTTAAAATCAAGCAGACTAGTTGGTTGGGAGATTTCTAGCTTTAGCATACAAACATACCCCCCCACACACACACACTTGTATATATGTACAGTATGTCATTTGTATCTTCCCTTGTGGTCTTTTGGCTTCTTTGATTTTACTGTTTATACAGGCATCTGCAGCAAACAAAGATTACATCAGAATTATGACATGCTCCATCCTTAGGTATTTGCATCCTGATGTCTAATGCAAGTATGTTAGTTACTTTTTTGAATTAGGATGTAGGTTTCATTACTTCCTCCCCTTACCTCCCCATAACACAACCTAGGGTTGTTTTCTGTTTCTGTTTGTCCCTAATTTTGCATGTCATAGGGATTAATATTACTTTGAAATCCTTTAGAGAGACAATAGCTGAATTCCAGCTAAATATTCAGTGCCATATTTATACCCAAGAGTACTAATAGACCCAAAGCTGGGGTAGTACACATTGATTGTAACTACTTTGAAGACTTTTAAATTGTTTGAATTACTATTTTATTAAGAGTAAACAGGAGGACTTAATTTCAGACTTATCTATGTCCTGTTTTATAATTCCATTTGGATTATCAGGGAGGCTCAGAATAAATAGATTAGAAACTCACTGTTAAACACTGAATAATCTCTTAAAAACTTTGAGACTCAAAGGATTAGTTAAATAGCTTAGTCTGTGGACTTTATTTAAGACCATCTGTAGAAAGCTAAGGTGTGTCAGCTGTGTCTGTCAACAGAGCAGATTGTTAGATTGGATTCTTCATCCCCAATGTGCATTTCCCAAATCTTGGATTGTTGTGGATCCTTTGGAATAGATATCGGGAGAGCGATATTATAGAAATTAATGTTTGTGACATTACCTATATGGTAAAAGTAGAATCTCCTTCAAGTTTAACTTTATTCCTGATGTCTGCATGGAAACATCCCAGTAACTTTCTTGGCAGCAATAAAGAAATGGTTTGTTATTGCTTTATTCGAATTTTTTAAAAATTCCAATCTAAACTGTAGCCCTTCCATCAAAATATTAATCAGAATATACTCTGCTTATGCTTAGTTTCTGAGCCAAGATAATGTCCAGGCTGAGATATACCTTTAGTTAGATGTCATAAAAATTATCCCTGAAAGAATCAGGGTTATAGCCTCTAGTATAGTACAGCTCTGGATACAAAAACGTGTACTTCTTCTGCTTGCTGTTAAAAGTGTTTGAAAAATAAGTTAAACAGCTTCTACATGTTTTTTTTAATATATGAAAATATGTATTTACACATACTCATAAATATGTTTTGTCTTTTGACACAGAAATTTATTGAATTTGAAGATTCTCAAGAACAAGAAAAAAAAGA